CGATTCCTAAGGAAATCTTCAAAATTGGTGGCTGGTGGCTCAATCTTGCCATTTGATGAACAATTAACGATAATCTTACCGACAAAAAAATACAAACGTCTCTTATGAACTATTGAAGGAAGCTAGTCGACTGTTCTACATATCATGGGTGATAAATAATCAGGACGCAGTTATTATACAAATTTCTTTATATATATATATATATATATATATATATATATATATATATATATATATATATATATATATATATATATATATATACATATATATTTCTATATATTTGTATATTTTTTTTATATTATTTTTTTTATTTATATATTTTTGTTTTGCATTATCTCGAAATTAGTACGTTTTTGGGCTTAAGAACGCAGGGCCCGATAGTTCCGGGTCTTGGTGTACACATAAAAATCTTCAAAGGCTAATATGTCTTCTATCGATCTACAGATTTACCACCGTTCCAGTATTATAATAATATATTTGGGGATGGGGATATACGAGTATTACATCTACAATGTCTGCAAGGTTAAATCGGTATACAATTAAAAAGATAAAATCACTTTTAAATTACATGACTTTTTCACCCTACAGTATATATTTTTGAATATTTAATAGTTGACCGTTGCATTATAAAGGAAGGAGATTGTCCGGGGTGGCTGTCATAAACAGGCTAAATAGTGGTAAAACTATTTTTTATAAAATAGCTTTTAATAAAATAGTTTTACCACTATTTAGCCTATTTATGACCGCCACCCCGGACAATCTCCTTTCTGTATATATTTTTGTATAATGTTGACTTTTATTTAGGAGGTGAAAGATGGAGTGGCAAAGCTTGCACCTCCAGGCGCAATCCTATTTTTTGAAACTAGATTTTTTTATTTCTCTAGGCATGGAGAATATTGGATCAAATGATGATTTCCAAAAATCGATGTTGCTTATTACATGCGTTCCCGTATTCTATTATGGATCTAGTACTTTCAAATATGATTAATTTTTCAAAATAGTAATAAATCGAAACTTAGATTTTTAGTTCGTTGTACGCAGCCCTTTTTATAAAATTATAAACATCCGTTTAAAACTTGGTCAGGGATTATATGAAGCCATTTCATCTTATCGTAATCTACTACTGGTATCTACGAAAATTCTCACAATGGAACGTTTCCTCATTAAATAAATTAATTTAATGAGTTACTAAAAACTCATCTGTACCCATTTGCTATTCAATTGAATCTAAGATAGAGATCATCTCGCCCATTTACAATTTTTCGGCAACGAACTACTTTTACAACTCCCTAGTCCCTTTCTACCTGTCAGTTTTTCTGTTACCTGACCCGAACATCAGACAACCAGTCCCTATAGCTTCAAACAATGACTGACTGGTATGTTTTTGACTCTTATTATTATTATTATTATTTATATACCTACTACCTATTAGCCTTAGTATACCCCTTGTTATCCAAATAACCCATTACCTTTTCCCAATTGAACTGAATGTCACCAACCATCTACATATACTGTAACCTTCTATAATTAATTATGTATTGTTAATATAAAATCCAATAACTAATATGTATTGTTTGTATCTTATATAGCCCTGTAACGTAGGTCGAAACGTTGGACAATATAAAAATAAAATTAATAATTTTTTTATTTTTCTAAGGTTAAGGCAAATATACTTCCATTTTGCTTTAGTTTTAATCAGATCTATTACATCCAGCGTTTCGGGACAATTTTCCCATCCTCAGAGAATTCCTTATGTTTACTAAAAGTATACATATTTGAAATGAACTATTATTACATTGTTAATCTACTCTATTTATTGTCTAATTATTTACCTTGACTTTGTTATGTGGCACCAATTGACCAATAATTTTTTTTTGACTGATCGCCCCAACTATTCTTCACTTCAATACTATTATGAAAAATAGTATTTTTTTTTTTTTTTTTTGACCGCACCCTGACTAATTTCTTGTAAAATTAAATCCACGTTCAACCATCTCTGTATCATTATGAATCGTAAGATAATTTGATCTCAAAATCTAGAAAAAAGGTTGTCTACTAGAATTTTGGACCATTTGGCCTATATAACCTCGTTATTTTGACATGTTGGAATTGGAGGTCATGCCAAACGGTCTAATATTTTTTAGGCCACTTTTTATTCTCGATTTCGTAATCAAATTATCCTACGATTTAAGTGGAAAGGAAATGAATGTTTATGAGTAAGGGCGGTCCCTCCACGCCCAGCGGTATAATAAAAGGCCTCTGGCCACAGATGCAAAGTACGCATACAGCGTGCATAGCCTTCTTACCTTAAAATGCCCTTGGGCAATAAATGGAAATTGAAAATTTATGTATATATATAACATTTATATATATATTGTATTTTGTAATCAAGAAATTCCTGGGGGTAGGAAAAAAAAAAAAAAGTTTATGAGTACTGAAATTCAGCAAATAAATGTTTGGACTATTTGGCCATATTTAAGTACTGAATTTCAGTACTCATAAACATTCATTTGCTTATATATATTATTTTAACGTTATTTTTGTATATATGTTTCTTTATATATTTATATATTGTATTTTGTATTGTAACTAAATTCCTGGGGGGTATGGAAAAAAAAGAAAGAAATGTTTTAGTATTTTAACAAATAGACAACGTTCACCGAGCCCCAGATTGAAAACGCCTAATTTTCGTAAATAAAAAAGCTGTAGATTACGATAAGATGAAGCCATTCACAAAGTTTTAGACGGATGTTAATAATTTGATAAAAAGGGTACTGCGGGCTGAGCCCGATAAGACCTACATAGTTCTTCCGATAAGATCTGCATAGTTCTCCTTTAATTAGGACATTTTCTTATTATAGTTATAGAAAAAAATATATGAAAATGAAAATATGCAAAACAATATATATATATATATATATATATATATATATATATATATATATATATATATATATATATTTATATATATATAACGATTTATTAAAAATAAAAAAATATAAATTGACAACATGTTTTTGATTAAATTAAATGACCGTGTAGACTAAATGCGGCAAACCAGTTACTAATAAAATAATATTTAAACATATTTATAAATTATATCTTTTTCTGGTACTTGTGAGCGACGCGG